TTCCTTCTCCTTCCGATCGCTAATTGAGTTCCATTGAAGATCCTCCATTTGTGCCGCACCTGTCACAAAGGGACTGTTCCACGCTGGTAATCGCGTGCACTGTCGAAAATGAAGTTGGCAAATTTTAAAACGAAAAAAAAAACGCTGACGAAGCGCTCACGTTCAAATCTTTTGAACTTCTTTGAACTTAACACAGCTTACTGGATTCTGAACACTCTACTTCATGTGAAAGGATAGGATCATCACAGGGGAGAGTGCATCAGGAAACGTTTTCTCTGGAAAGTGCATGCATCATGAAACGTGACCCATGTCACGTTACTTTTCCCAGTGTGGTGCACCGTTTACTTGTTTGTAACACTACAACTTCTGAATTCATGCGCGCATGATTATTTAAATTGGCACCGTCGTGGATTATGTTTTCAGCACAGCAGTGTGACAAACGACAATGAACGCTCGTCGCACAAAGCCCTCATTAACAGCATCCAGCTGCGACCCCTGCAATCCAGGAGGGCGAGCCGTTCCTTGCAGCGCCCGGGGCGGCGCCCACCCCTACACCTCCACCCCCACCTCCACCCAACTGTCTGTGATGGGCTGTGGAGTCAATGGTGCAGCCGCCGCCGCCGCCCCCTTCCCCCTCCTTCCCCCTCCCGACACCCCCCTGCCACTCATCTCGCCTCACCGCTTCGTCCCAGAGACCGCTCCAATTGGGTTAGTCCGCGGGTGCGGTAGAAAGTGGGGCTTGAGGGACACGTTTCCAGACTCTGTCTAGGGCAGGGTGTAGAGAGATAGCTTCTACACCGTGGTCTAGGGCCAGGGTGGTATGGCGCTGTTTCAATACGTCCCTCCGTATTACAAATTTGCCCACCTACTAGAGGCTATCAATACTTAGATTGTACACTTAAAATTTAAGTGTAAATATTGAAACGACCCGCTAGTTATGGGGCGAGCCAAAAGCAAAACTGAAATAGTAGAAGATAGACAGAGACAGAAGTCTCGGTCTTGTATATCTGCTTTCACGACCCTTTCCTTAAAGGGACGGTTTTGTTTTTTGTTCCTGTTGTTCGTCTTCTAACCCTTTCGTTCTTTCTGTTGCAGTTTTCCCCAATGTGCCGCCTGCTCCGGGCATGCCATGCCAGGGCGAGGACCGTAAGTGAATCTCAGATAGGCACTCGCAACTAAGTGAAAAAATCAATAATATTTTGACATGTTTTTCGATTGACAAACTATGTAATCTCGTTCATTTTTGTGAGCCACACCACTCATAATTTTTGCTAGTCGAAGAAAAACATTGTAGACGTATAGTGTAAATTTAACTTAACGAATTAGGTTCGAAATTTTACGCTACTTCTGATACTTGTTTTTTGTTGTTGTTTTTTTACCTTGTAACCTCTGCTCTGTCCACAGGTAGCATCTATAGGCGGGGCGCGCGGCGCTGGAGGAAGCTGTACAGGGTCAACGGGCACATCTTCCAGGCCAAGAGGTTCAACAGGGTGAGTGTTGCAGACGTCTTACTCGCACTCGCCTGCTTAGGTGTATATCGTTTTACTAAGCTATTGCCACGGAGGCTAGTTCTGTCATATGTTAGAAACTCGAGAGTACATGCAGCTTAAGTATCATGTACTAAAAAGAAGGAAATGTCCGAAAGTGCCCTTTCCAAACCCAATGCAGTATAATTTGGCAATGCTTTCATGTCTTCTGACAGTGTTGGGTTCGGGTCGCCCTGTCGGTCTCCGTACAACTAATTGGGGGGCTTGCTGGATCGAGGGTGTTTCTCGTCGTGGATCAGATGCGGGGCGGGTGGGTTTGTATTGTCAAAGGACTTTCTGCCCGCTGCGCAGCCACCGAGCCGGGGGGAAAGGGGGGGGGGTATTTGCGACGAAGACTGACTCGGTGACCGGAAGTGAGAGTGCCGGGCACGGGGAAGCACCGGAAGTACGCCCTCGTTATGATTAGTGCCCGGCTCGCGGCACACAGCGGGGCACTCCGTGTTGACCGACTAGTAGATTGGCCTGTTGTTGACGGCGCCCGCCTTTCTGTTTGAACAGCGCGCCTTCTGCGCCTACTGCCAGGACCGCATCTGGGGGCTGGGGCGCCAGGGCTTCAAGTGCATCCAGTGCAAGCTGCTGGTGCACAAGAAGTGCCACAAGCTCGTGTCCAAGCCCTGCAGCAACGAGCACGTGGAGCCCGTCAGCAGGGACGACAGCAATGGTGAGTCCACAAACATAGTTGTCTTTTGCTCGCCCTTCTACTTCGTTGCGGGCTTGTTGTTTTAGTAAGTTTTACATTTACGAACACAGTCGTAAGCGTGCAGTTTTCTCTCCAAAGAATCGTAAAGGACAGTTCAATTTTTTTAAAAATCCGTATATTTTTTACTATACTTGAATTGGGGGAAACTTAATGATATGAGTTTGTAACTCTGGCAGACGGCCGTTTCTTTCTTTCCGATTTTTTTTGGTTTCGCGGTTTGTCTGTACCTGCACTGATTTGATTTTTTGTTTTTCGTCTTGTAGGTACGCCGACGTCGGACCTGGCGCAGGACAAGGAGTTCCCGGATCCTCCAGGTGACCTGTCGACGGGCGCGGTCCCGGTGGACGACCCGGCCAACGGTGCGTGTCCCCGCGTGCTGACTGGGCGGGGGTTGGAGGGGAAGGGGGGTCGTGCCTCTGATGAGCCAGTCATTGAGGGATGAAGCGACCAATCAACCTGCAGGGCCGGCGCTGCACCGCACACCGCGTGTCTGTCTCCGTCCGTGACGCCCACCGCGTGCGGAATGTTTGAAATCGAAAAATGATATCAAAGTGATGTCGCGAAAAGATGTGTGAAAGGCGTTCGTTACGGACGTTTTTGATTCGTTTTTGATTCCATTGCTCGCCCCGGCTGCGCAATGTACTACTACTGCACATACGTGCCGTGGCTGCAGATCCGCCCAGTCAGGCACACGACACGATATCGGACCGACGTCAAAACGACCAAATTGGCGTCATTTACTAATCACAATCATGATGCCTTGCGTTTCGACTCTGTTCAATGAGTCAGCTTTCTCACTGGACCGTGTCGCCCGATGTGATGTCGAGCCGAGATCACGTCGGGAAGACGTGGTGCTGGCGTCGTTTTGAACGTTTGACTTCTCGTTTGCAGCGGACGAGCATCTGGAGCCCGGCACGCAGCGCCAGTACTCCATCATCGACTTCGACCTGATCCGGGTGATCGGGCGCGGCAGCTACGCCAAGGTGCTAATGGTAGAGCTGCGCAAGACCAAGCGCATCTACGCCATGAAGGTCATCAAGAAGGCCCTGGTGACGGACGACGAGGTGCGTACCACTTTAGGATGAGGCGTGGCATCTGGCATCATGACCCAAGAAACACGGCAGAGACCTCAAACGGGCTGACTCAGGCGGGCTGCTCTCGCGCGGCCCGCTCGGTCAGTCAGAGTGTTGCAGCGGTAGTCTGTTCCGACGGAGCCGCCGTCCGGTAGGCTTCGGCCAAAACTCTTCCGGAGCGCTTTGCAAAGCAAGGGAGCCCGCATGAGCCCGCCCGAGCCCGCCCGTCCGTCCCGGCAGCCAATGAGAGAAGGTGATTCTAGCCCAGAATCGGCAGAACTCAGGCAGCCCGTCGGAGCCCGCGACGGGCTGGCGCGGGCTCGAGCTCCGGGAGGCGGGCGGGCTCATGCGGGCTCATACTCAGCGCCTCACGCGCTACAAGCCGGGAGCCCGTCAGAGTCAGCCCGTTTGAGGTCTCTGAAACACGGCAATGTCGGGAAGACACACGTCAGACGTGATCAGACGTCATCGTGACGTCTTCAGGACTAAATCACGTCCAAATGACGCCCGACAGCGTGTCATGTTGGGCGGAGGGGTCCTTACTATAAGGCCCATCGTACACCAATTATTCTGATTCTTATCGATTTTTATTCTATTTTTTTTCTTAATTGTTTTCCTGAATATTTTCCTTGTGTTTTTCCAATTGCTCTGATTTTTCCTTATTTTGGGTGAAGAACCCCCCTCGCAATGTGGCCCGCTTTTGCCGTTTCGCCCCTTCCTGTGGCGATTGCCATTGCCGAATGCAGCGTTGACTCTCTCTCTCTCTCTGTTCGCAGGACATCGACTGGGTGCAGACGGAGAAGCACGTGTTCGAGACGGCCTCCAACCACCCGTTCCTGGTCGGGCTGCACTCGTGCTTCCAGACGCCCAGCCGCCTCTTCTTCGTCATCGAGTTCGTCCGCGGCGGCGATCTCATGTTCCACATGCAGCGCCAGCGGCGCCTGCCCGAGGAGCACGCCCGCTTCTACTCGGCCGAGATCAGCCTCGCGCTCAACTTCCTGCACGAGAAGGGTGAGTGAGTTTGACCTCTCTTTTTCCAATGTGAACAATGTATCCTCCTCGTTCATTTCTTTATTTAATTTTATTT